TGATAATAATAGTAATAAAGATAAAAATGATAGTGGTAATAATGATAGTGGTAATGATAATAGTAATAATGAATATAATAGTGATGATGATAATGATAATGATAATAATAGTGATAATAACTATAGCAATAATAATGATAATGATAATGATACTATCAGTAATGAAAATAACGATGATAATGATACTTATTATAATGATAATGATGATAATGATAATGATGACAATGATAATAACAAAAATGAAAATAATGATACTGCTACTACTACTACTACTAATATTACTACTAATCGGGATAACAATAATAATATAAGTAATAATGATAATAACAATAATGAAAAATAATAATGATAATGATAATAAGGGTAAAATAACGATTGTAACAATAAAGATAATGCTAATAATAGAAATGACAACAATAATGATATTGATAATGATAAAAAACATTCAATGATAATATAAATATAAATAGTAATGACGACAATAAAAATATGAGTAATGATGATGATCATAACAATAATGATAATAATAATAATGACAATATTGATAATTATGATAATAATAACAATAGAAATCATAATTATTATGATAATAGTAATCTTAATGATTATAACAACGATAATGATAATGATAATGAAAATTATAATGATAATGAAAATCATAATAGTAATAATAATAATAATAATATTTATAATAATGATGATATCAATAATAATGGTAATAATGGTAATGATAGTAATAATAATAATAATAATAACAATAATAATAATAATAATAATAATAACAATAATAACAATAATAATAATAGTAACAATAATGATTATAATAATAATACAAATAACGATAATAATGGTGATAATGAAAATAATAATAATAATGATAATGATAAAGAAAATAATAATAATAAATAATAATCAATAATATTAATAATGATAAAGATAATGATGATGATGATGATGATAGTATTAACAATAATAATGATAATAATTATGATAATAATGATAGAAATAACACTAATGATAATATAAATGACGACAAAAATGTTAACAGTAATAATAATAATAATAATAATAATAATAATAATAATAATAATCATGACGATGATGGTTGAAATGCTCGAATCTAGCCTTGTAGACGACATGGCGGCTGAGATTTTTACGTATATTATCACCACTACCCCACACACAACACGTCGGTCAAACACACCTGGACAAACAAGCAGCGCTTTATTTGCCTTCACAGACTAGGGAAGCTAATAACGAGAAAACAATATACCTAAGACTTTTCGAGGTGTTACAGCTTTGTGATTTCTGCTTGAAGCCGCATTTAAACCGAGTAGACTACATAACGACTGTATATTGTCACCACCACCCAGTCCAGTCCATACGGTTAAACCTAGCTGGACAAACAAGCAGCGCTTTGATTGCTTCCATGTGCTGTAATAGCTAATAACAAGAGGACAGTATGCTTGTGACATTCAAAGGCATGACATCTGCTCTACAGAAATTCACCAAGTATATCAGAGAACTCGCAAAGTGTAGGTGCTGAAGCCATTTGAAGTATATTGTAGTGTAAACTGAAATCATGGAATATGTATATGTGAACAGATAGAAATGAGGTGGATCTGACGTGAAAAAAATTCTTTATGTATATCTTAAGTGATGTATTATACTAATAAAAAGATTAATGGAAATTAGTGCATATCATATGTCCACAAATTTCATCATGTTTATCAATATAGTAAGTGAGTGTGACATTGCGAGTTTCATTATTAACATAGTCGAAGGGCAGCTACAATGATAATAAAAACAATAATGATAAAAAGTACTCGGAACATTAAAAATGAAGATAATGATAAGGATAATAAGCAATTTGACAATGTAATTAGGCGGTAGGAGATGGCGGATCTGGAATTTCTTCCTCCTTTCAATATGAGAATGATGTGGGCAAAGCGCTATGAGTCTGGCAAAGTCTGGCTTTTCCAAATTTCATTGTACTCTTCTAGCAACTTAATCATTGCATCACGATTAAGATCTCATACTGGATCTCGTCGAGGCCTAGGGATGTTCCTCTACAGGCTTCTAGGGCTCAGACAAGCTCATCCATTGTCAGATCTTGGGTGTAATCCAAGTCACTCTTGTGGCAAAGTGTATAGGTTACAGCTCTGCTACTTCCTTGGTGGTCACGAATACTGGATGGTAATTTTCTGAGTTTCTTGTATATGAGGTCATTAATCAAATCATTAACTTGGGAGTTGAACTGCGCTTTTACAAAGATGCTACCTTCTTGCAGTTTCCGGACAAAATCAAAATCGCCGTCCACTTGACCATCAAGAACCTTTTTGATGGTGAAGAAATTAACGTTCAATAACAATTGTTTTTTATTCGCACATTTGACAGTCAAATGTCTCTGGAGGGAATGCAAAAACTCGTCAATCAATCACATTAGGTTTCTGACCAAGTCCGAACCCTGGGCTTGTGCCCGTTGTATCGAAAGGACCCAAAAAATCTTAACTATTGTTATTCAACCTAACACCAATAGCTAAGAGAGTGTGGCAGTTATGCATCCTCTACCCCCCCTCCCCCCCCAGGTAGAAGCCTGGTTGTCTTCTCTAGTACCAAAGGGGGATCGCATTATGTGTAGGTCACTTCTTTACCGCCAAACTTGCCTAAGCGATGGACGATAATTCGATGCTCAGCTCCCAGGCGAATACGGGAGTCTGCAAGGGAACTCCAGTACGCTCAGGAAAGTCACATGAAGAGAGGAAAAGAATTCTTCATAATAGAAAAAGTGTACCCAAAGGACGCCCTAGACTATTGGGCCTCCCTACCCAGAGGTCAAAGGCCGCAAGGGTTACCCTGGTTTAGAAGAGTGCTCCGGGTCTAAGGTGGGGTGCTGATTACGCCTACTGTAGCCTCGTGTTACTTGCAAAATCAAAGCACTGAAGGGGCAGGCAAAGCACAAGGAAGTACTACAAAACCGAGAGGCCTCGGACTCCAAAGACAATCCTGTGTCACACGACTTCAAACATTGTGCTGCTGCTTTTTTATCATCAAAAGTTCGGCCACAAAGACACCCCTTTCAAGAGCAATTCTAAATACAGTACATAGATATTAGTCGACACGTCTGCACACAGGCTCCGATATGGGCTGCATACAAAAGGAGCGTATTGAACATTTCGGAACTCAAAGGCCAATGCGAAAAATTCCCCTCGCCTCTTCCCCTCGTTCTTGGCGCCTTGGAGAAGACAATAGATTTATTGCGTGCACGGAGGACGATGATTAATAATTGTCATCAGCTGGAAAACTGTTCAAAAGGTTTTTTGAAATCGTACGGACTTTTGGTAAGTAAAAATGGCGTTAAAACTTTACGAGGGATGGTGAGGGAGGGAGTAGGAAGAGAGAGCGAAAGAGACAGAAGCAGACAGACAGACAGATAGATGGATAGAGAATGAGAGACAGACACAAAAACATACAGACAGGCAAAAAAACAGGCAGACAAACATACAGACACAGAAAGATAGAGAAAGGGAGAGAGATACCTAGGCAGAGACAGAGCTGGTGTTTGAGCCAGAGAGAGAGAGAAAAAAAAAGATATGTAGGAATGGAGACAAAAAGAAGTATAGAGCTTGAGAAAAGCAGAGAGAGTAAGAAGAAGAAGAAAGTTAGAAAGAACAAAAAGGTGAGACGGATAAATAGAGATCTAAGTGATCAGCCTATATTGATCACGAAACGACTGAGTCCACCGTCAGTTCATAAGCATTCTCTGTATAGACTGAAGTCTATTTTTAACAAGACACGAACGTTCATACATTTCCAAACAACAACATCAACTAAAAACTGCCATCAGTGTTATTATTTTTTTGTTCTGTTTACACCATGTTGGACTTGAAATGATCTTATCAAAATGAGGTTTGTTATTATTTAAAAGTTGAGGATATGGGGTATATTAGGATGAAGGGAAAGTGGGTTGGAGAGTGACGGGGGTGGGGGGGGGTTGGGGGGGTGTAGGATGTCAAATGTTGTGTATAGTTCGCTTGGGTTCAGCTGAGTTCCTCTGATTTTTTTTATATTGTCAAAACATCAAATATAGTACGTGTGTATGTGTGTGTATGTGTGTGTGTGTGTGTGTGTGTGTGTGTGTGTGTGTGTGTGTGTGTGTGTGTGTCTATATGAATATAGCTGTGAGGGTGGGCGTTAGTATATTTCTGTATTTTTTATTCGTTCCCACTGGAGTAAAGGTTTAATATGAGTAGCCAGGAATACATAACAAATTCAAAATAATTACTCAGTTCTTACTCCAGTTATTTTCATAGATCAAGATAATTGCTGGATCTGGTGTGTGTCTGATTTAGATTTTTTATCTTATTTGGAATCACGTGAATGATGTATACTTATTCACATACGAGAGTATATAGATCAAACACCCACTGGAATATGTAGCAGACATGCATATAGTCACACACACACACACACACACACACACACACACACTCTCTCTCTCTCTCTCTCTCACTTTTTCATATGTAACTCTGCCCCTCTCCGCCATCGCATACAATTACACAAGCCTCTTTTATTGTTTTGAAAAAAATTCAAGAAAAATGATCGTTTATCCATGTGTTATTATCTCATAATGATAACGAAACTTTATCAGCAATTCACCGAAATATGCATTTTTTTTCATTATGATGCATTATGGTATCCCAATGGATCTGAAAAAAAGTATATTATCAAAAAATAAAATTAATTTAAATCAGAGGTTGAGAAGAGGGTCGTAAATTTGAGAAAAAAACGATGGGGGTACAGATGGATGGGGGGTGAGGGAGGGAAAGAGGTGGGGGGGGGGGAGCGTTACATCAAAGCCTCCGTTCTTCCAGCGACCCCACGTGACCTCAAGAACCCCAGCTTGTTATCTCGCATCACGCGTCAGCAACGAATCACATTAACAGTGTTATCAGGATAGAGGCAGACGAAGATAGCACGCGATAAGGAGAGGCCGAGGAAAAAATGCTTGATGCCACAGCCAATGCCCGAGCTCTCAGTTACAACAAAGGACTCGAGAAGACTTTTTCACTCGCTGCCCCAATGCCCCCAGGCGGTCGTGTGGACATTCATCGAGAAGCCTGATTTGATTTAAAGTTGATGATGTCTTTGAGTGCTTAAATTGGAAATCAGGACGATGGAGTTATCGATGTCTGACGTACGGACGGTAAGCCATGTAATATATATTTTTTTTCTTTCTTCCTTTCATTCATTCATTATTTCTTTCGTTCGGTCTTACTATTTCTTTTTTTTTCTTTTCGTTTGCTCGGATATTTAGGTTAATTATTCTGAAAACTTGAGATTGGAAAATTAATGCATGTTTATTCGTCTTCTTTTATTTTCCATAAATTTCCAGTTGAAGTATTCGATGCAAACAAATATTCAAGATTCTAGTGTTATTGAGATGCTTATGAGGAAACTAATTATGAATTACATTAAGCTATTTTTTTCAACACTTATAAAATGAACCCCTTGGTAATTTTCATTTTCATTTGGTGTAGCAATGAATACGAAATTCCCTTTCTTTTTCACTTCACGATAAACCTCCCATAGTAGGCTATGAACAAAGTACTACAACTTTAAACCCAAGTTATGTAAGTCGCAAAGTTAAAGTTAATTCCATTCTATTATACGGTTCCTAAAGTTCCTGAAGTTCCTGATTATACCTAATACCTACGATTATTTTTTTTTTATATATTCATTATTATTATATTTACACAAATTAAATAATATGCACTTCCAGATTGCTTACGAGTCGCCTGTAGATTTGCTCAATGGGTCCTTTAACCCGGCAGGATGTAACAACTCCTATGTTCCGACTCAAGACGAATATAGACAAGGTGAGATTAGTTAACGATTCGGTGAATTCTATAAATACGTTATTGGAGTAGGAGTTGAAACTATCACAGCAGATAATGATAACGATCATAGTAATAACTCGATATATTCATTCTTATAT